TATATATATATATATATTATTTTCTAAAGTTTAACTTTTAATGCAAGTAATAATTATTATGATTTACAAACTAGAGAAAAGACAAACTCAAAAGTCTAAACAAATATTCATGACTTAAATATCATATTTAACTTTCTATTGCATTGAAGGTAGAATTCAAAACAAGTAATAGATAATTAATTATAAATAATATTATGTAAAAATTAAGAATATTTAAAATACTATGGTTTCAAAATATAAAGTATTTAGAATTTTTTATATTTCTTTTTGATGTTTAAGATTAATTAAATAGAAATTTATACTAAAAAAACTTGACCAATAGAAAATCACATTAAATTTAGTTAAATAAATAATTTATAAAAAATTTCAATTATAAAATACTGATTAAAATATTAGCTATTATAAAGAAGGTTTTATCATTAAATAAGAAAACAAACTGAATATAGTTATGATTATTAGAGTTATCTTTCAAACAAATGGTCCCATGGTCTAGTGGTCAGGACATTGGACTCTGAATCCAGTAACCCGAGTTCAAATCTCGGTGGGACCTTTATTTTGTAAATTTTCATTCATTTTAAATCAAAACAAATACTCGTATAATCTTGATTTGATTAGGGGGACTTTTCAATCAATGAGACTTAAAATAATTTATCAATACTCTCTTCATTTTCCTTATACCAAACATATTATATTTTTCGATATTCTATTTTATTTTTAAAAATTTTTCTTTTCTTGCAGTTTTACCTTTTCTCTTCCGAAACACATGACATTTTGGTTTATTATAGTTTTTGAATAAAATGTTGGGCACAGGCACAAGCGAGAGGTTGCATCATGTGGAATTTGGATTGATGCGACAGTGAGAATCGAGATGCTTAATTAAATGTAGATGAAGATACCTAATACACTTACTCACATTTTTAATGCATACACGTGTCTCTACATTTTTCACTACTCTCATCCACGTGTTATGTCTATTGTGTCCTATGTATCTCTTCAATCGATAACCAAATTGCTCCAAAACCTAAACCCTATCTATCTATCAATCAATGCCTTTGACAACTCAACTCCTTTTTCGGTCCCATCACGTCAACTACAGTAAACTAAAATTTTATGCGTCTTTGCAAATAGTAAATCACGTTTGAATTTTTAACTTTTTTTTTTAATAAACATGAAAGTTTTCAAACACACTGTTCTTAATTAACACTTGGTGGTGAAATAGGTGAAAAACTAAGGTGAGATAGGAAAAATAGAGAGGAAATTGAAATTATTTAGTTGAGATAAATTAGTGAGAGAATCAAAAAGTAATGAGTTCTGCTTTTAAAATGTCTCACAATAGATTGGATGTGCTTTCTAGTTTGTTTTGTACCATCTTATTGGATGCATGTTTGTGAAAGTGCATGTATAATAATAGTTTTACTTTTAATATTATTTTTTCTTTTTTATCTTAAAATAAACAGGCTCAATATTATTTTTAATATTTGTTTTTATTTTTTTTCAAATCAAACAACATAAAATTTTTTTAACCTATTTTTATATATTGCTTTTTTATTTCTCTTAATTATTTTTATTTCCATATACAATATTTCTTTCTTTGCTGCCAAAGGATAACATAACTGATCATATATATAGTAAGAAAAAGAAATATAGGACAGTGTCAAAATATTTATTTAAATATAAAAAGAGAAATAAAAATAAACTCTCCATGGGCTAAAAGATCCATTCCCATGAGTTAGAAAATATTGCTCCTATGGCGTTTTATTTTTTGTTACATATCTATGGTGTGTTTCATCGAAGTAAAATACATTGTTCAGAATTTCACCTTAATTAATATATTATGTAATCATTCTATATACTTCGGGTGTATATATACACACGGGGTATATCTCTATACTAGATTAAGCAATTTAAAAGTAAAATAATATTTTTAATCATGATTTCATGAGCTGAAATTGACCTTGATATTAATAAGTTACAACAACTTACACACAAAGTTTAACAAACTAAATTAAACTCCTTTAGTAAATTGTAAGTAATATGTTGTGATAAAAATCGAGAGATAGAGAATATAATAATTTTAGGTAGAAAATAATATTGTGATAAAATACTTTAGTTATTTTAAATAGAGTACGTGACATATAAATATGGCTATTTAGAATGTTTGTTTTATGAAATGATATATTGTATTCTTGAGAATCATATTATAGTGAATAAAAAAAATGTTATTTTCAAAAAACATTTAAAATTATATTTAGTTAAAATCAAATATTTTTATAAATATTTTAAAATTAAAATAATTTAAAAAGTTAGAATAAAATTTATAATCAAATTAAGTAAATATTTTCACATTATTACGAAAATATAAGTTTGTCACCTTTTTTTTTCATGAAAGTGACTTAAATCATGATATATTTAATGGTTTATTCAACTCCAAATAATTGCTATGTTGGAGAGTTATTGGCGTATGCAAAGAAGTATTAGTTAAGAAACATCTACTTCATATTTATATTATTTTTGTTAAATGTTTTATGATATTATAATATAATAAGTGTTCTATTTTTTTTATTTTCTTTCCCAGTGAACATTTATTAGCTGACACCGATTCTTCTAGTATTTGAGTTCATATTAGTTCACTAGATTCATCTTTTCAAATTATTGTTTAGTGCTTGAAAAATCACATGGCACTAAACCACAAGAACAAACATGGGACTCTGGGACCGAAATCCTTATTTATACTTTCAGCCATTCAGGAATAACACAAGAGTACTTGAAGAGGAAGCAAGTGATTAATCTTCAGAACTTAAATCCTTTGATTAATCTCCCAGCTGCACAATCATCATATTATATAAGCTGAGTATTAATAACTTGTACTTTTGTTTGACAACTTGCAAACTTACCATATATAGTTTAAATGGCGCACCAATTACTACTTTTGCAGTGTCATTTCTTGAATCCAGTGTCCTTATAATATTCACATCAACAACTTCCTACTCCCTTGTGTTTCCCACCACTCTTCTACTTCTACAGTTCCTACCCATTGCCATTTACAGTCAAAGGATTTTCTCTTTCTTCCCATCTGAAATCTTCTGGTTTTTGAAGCAATGACATCCAACACACTTTCTTCTCTAAGATGGACAAGTGAGAAGAACAAACTGTTTGAAAATGCCTTGGCAATATATGACAAGGATACCCCTGACCGTTGGAACAACATAGCCATGTTTGTTGGAGGCACATCTGAAGTTGAAGTGAAGAGGCAATATCAGATACTTCTAGAGGACATCAAAAGCATTGAGTCAGGCAAGGTTCCTCTCCCTGCTTATAGGAGAAATAATTCTGGATGCAGCAAAGTAAACACCAGCAATGCAGAGCAAAGGTAACATGATATTTTCACCTATATACCATCACCTCATAAATAGGATTTTCCTCTCTTAATGAAACTATTACTTCCAACAATTAATTATGACTTCACTGATAAATGTTATGATACACTTTTGATCATGGTTCCCCGATACTTCACTGATAAACTATTACTTCAGTGATCAATGGCTTTTAATCCTCTACCTGCCTAGTAGAGCCTGGTGTTATAACATGTCTAGGACAGGTAGTAAAATTTGGATGTCTAACCCAACTCTTAAACTAGGTCAAAAACTGAGGCAATAGGAGTTGCATATAGATTGAATGCAAATGGCACCAGTTTACATGCATATTGTTAGAGATATAGGTAGTTTGGAATTAGTTACTCCACACATAATATAGTTTAATGTAATCATCTTTCACATTCTAATCTACTGATTTTCTCTCTCCTCTTTTGGACTCAACCATGTCTACTAACACATAATGTACAAACCACAACCACTGAGTCTATGAATGAATGAATGATCAATCATTTTACATCTTCAAAACCAATTTTAATGAATATCTTATTGAGAAATTCATTACGAATCTTCAAGCTCTTGTGTTGTTGCAATCTTTAAGGCCGAAGATAACATTAGTTGAGGTACCCATTTGTAAATTCATGCCTATATAGTGTATACTCTCGAGCGACTTGTTTTTTCACCCTTCATTATTGATACCCTTAACTGGATTAAGACCAATATATTTCCTGTGTTTGCTAATCGTAATTTTTCGTTACAAATTGTGTACAGGCTGAGGAATTTAAAGCTCTAGATGAAGAATGACCTTCAAAGTGAAGAGGAACACCATTTTTAGAGAAATCATTTTAGCATTGACCATCTGTAACTTTGTTTTCACCAGAACTCTTTCTGCAATAAATTTCTTCCATGCTTACCTTTCACTATGACGTCTCTTTTATATATAAGGATAGATAAAAAAAAAGGTTTAATAAGCATTGCTGCAACTTCTTATTTTGACAAATTGAGCATTTATCGCAAACTACTTGTATGAGGACTGAAACAGGAGCGGAATATCAAGTTAAGTACAGACCTATAAATTCAAATTCCACAATCACACGTGCAGCCAAAAAACAAAGGCCCACTAGACTACATTATTAAGTATTAGGTGGGTTTAGATCGTAAACAATTGCAGGCAATGGCATTCCAGAATCATGAAAGGGAGTCAATCATTCAAATGACAAATCTGCTTGGCGGTGAAACATAAATGCATCACATCTATTATATTATCGCTGTGAGAAGTGCTGCAACATACCCACAAACACTTTTTTTTTAAAACACTTTTTAATGATTGGTTAAAACTTAATGGAAACTACACAATTCTAAATAAGAAGACTTGATAAATTTTGTACTAGGAAATACATTTCATGAACTAGGAAATACATCTGCAGTCCTAGGTGCGCTCCATGAAGAATTCATAGGAGATGGAGCCCTTACAGACAGAAAGATCAGACAAAAATTCTTTGAGACGAAGTGTTGCTCACTTAAGATGAAAGATCTTGATAAGCATTATCTCATAATGCTTATATGTGCCAACATTTCTCTATTGTCATAATCGAGAAAAATCATGCATTCTAAGGCTACAGGATATCTTATAAACTCTTTCAACACTCTTGTGATGATGATTCAAGAAAGCCTTCTAGTTCCTTGTAGATGACTGGAAGGGTACAGAGTCACCTTGATCTGTGCTGTCCCCGTTTTTCCCAAAAATCTTTGACGCATTTAATATCTGTTTCGAACAAGACATAATTTATCACTTAGAGCAGTGAGGACATCATAAACAGAGACCTTATTAGAAGCAAATATCTGCAGTAGAAATTTACCTTTTGAATTGTGTTTCTCAAGCATGTCCTGTGTTCATCGGCGGAAGCGTGTATAAACTCATGAAAGTGATTTCTCAAATTAGACACGAAGCTCCCATTCCCAGACTTCTTCCTTTGGCAGAATGAGACTCTTGATGCTGAATTGACAGCTCGTTTCTCATCAGTCTGCTTGTCGTTGGAATCCATTCAAGCCACCACCTTGCACAATTACTGTATCTGGTTTAAAACCCATCTTGAATGCAAACTCATTTTCCTTTTTACATAATCCAACAGCTAACACATTATGATCCAATTATAACATAATAGATTCAAATCAAAAGATACCACGTTTAATGAACTAAATTAGCTGATAGTTGTTCAAGTTAGGAACTAAATTTGTTGATGTTTGTAAATTGGGAATTAATTTAACGTATTACTGTTAACCTATGTTTTCATGCATACAATTAAAATTCACCTCAGAATCTTATGGATTAGTCGCAATCACAAAATCACTTTAGAGTCCAGACATCATAAACACCTACTTATTGGAGAGACAAAGCGCTGTCAGATAACGTGTGTACGCTAATGCTTGAAAAAATATGATTATTCATTTTCATTACTTTTTGTAGGAAATAACTGGATACTACAAAAAAAGAAAAAAGAAAAAAAGTAAGTAAATAAAATGCGCATGGAAAAAGGAGAAGACGGAAGAGAACATACTTAGCGCGAGGAAAGGGAAGAAGAGTGATGATGATGGCACCGTCAAGATATACGAATGGCAATGGCGTCGTATTACGAGATTTTCCAGTAGCTTCACCACACATACTTTTCAAGTTTGAGATCTTAATTTACAACAGCCCAAAGCCCATTCTTTTTTTTTTTTTTTAATTTTGCATCTGAAAACCCTCTCATAACCATTTCAAAAAATTACTGCTTTTTAACATGGTTCTTCACGGGTGAGCTCGGTTGGGTAAGGAGTGAAATTTAATTAGTTTGAATTACTTTAAATTTTATAAATTTTTATATTTAATTTGAAGTGAATTAATCTGATGTTGGTTAGATTGATTTAATTTGTATTATCAAATATTTAATATTTTTTAAGAAAATTAAATTAAAAAATATTTTTTAAAATAAATAAATTTTTTAATATTAACTAAATTGATATATTGTCAAAAAAATAACTAAATTAATAATTTTATATTTTTTTAACCTTTTAATTTATTTAAGGATTTCAAATATATTACAATACGTAAAAATGACACTCAAATGTTGCAATATATTTTTTCTCAGTTTTTTTAAATATTTGAAAAAAAATAATGAGAAAAATTTACATATTATAACAAAAACGTTTACAATATAATCAAAATGATTCATATATATTAATTATTAACTAACTAAATAATAATAATATATAAATTAATTGATTTAATTCAAGTTGTTCAAATTTTAAATGTATAAATTGGATACTCAAATCAATCAATATCAAATTTAATTAATTTGATTCAAATTGAACTCAAATAAAAAAATAAAATCTGAACTAATTTAATTAATTTGATTTAAATTATTGAATTCATCAAATTAATCCTATCTAATAAACACCTCTACTTTTTAATCTCATGTTAGCATATTACTCTCTTTTGTTTTTAATTTGTATCTGTGTTCTATTTCTATGCGAGTATTAGTAACTATAAATATTTTTAGTTATTAGTTAAATTGTAAATGTATGATTTGGAACCTAAAAATAAAAATAAAAACAAAGCTTTGCCCTTGTATACCAAATAAACTTAGTACCGCTTGAGGTAGAGCCGTAGAGCTCTTCAGCAAATCAAAATGTGGTGTTAAAACACTTTTTAAAAAATAAAAATGTAATTCAACTAATTGTCCATTTTAGATTTCATAATTAAAAATGTTCTATTATTGTATTTATACATACTATTTTTTTTATTCTTTTTGTTTCCTGTCGTATATTGTCATAGAGACTAAAATGTAAAATTAATAATAAAAGCTATAAAATTTTTTAAAAAAAAACTAAAATAATATATATACAAACATATATTAAGTAAAATGAAATGTTTTTTAATTGTAGGGGTTAAAAGGTAAAATTATTTTAAACCTTTTAAATAAATTCCTCAACTTCAATTTTTTCACATTAAAATCTTAGAACTAACAAGTTCTGTTCACTGCCTATGTTCTTAAAATGTGTGGCTGCTCCTTATGTGCGTGTGCTTTTGTTCAATGAACTTAATTTGATTATAAATACGTGCTTCACACAATCATTCTTCTCCGAGTGTTCATAAAAAGTCATTGCAATTCTCACATATGATTGATAGGTAAGTAACCTGCAAAAAATCTAATATCTTTCTGCTTCAATATCTAATATCGAATTGTACAGACACCTCATTCAAAAGAAAAAATAAAATCCATCTGCAACATATCAATGATGCCGTGAATCCATAATTTCTTCCTAAGACAGCATATTGGGTTTGACGGCATAAACAAGCATCAATCAAGCATGTAAATTCTAGAGGCTATGTCCTGGACCAACCAATCGAATCCCTCAAGCAGACCCTCACCAGTGTATGCGCTACACCCAACTATCTGCCAATGCCGAGATTTATCCATGGCTTCTAAGTTCAGCACCTGCATGGTTGGAGCAAAACAACTACTTAGAAACAATTGTAACTGAAGTAGTGAAGTTATTTGGGATTTGACCCGTTTAAAATTTTCTTCTCAAACATTTAGCTCCTCTGTGTTTCATGAAATAATAAATAAAAAATGAAAATTCTATTTTTTTAGCACTTCAAGTAAATCATAACCATGAATTCCTAAAATCAGTTTAAAGTTGTTGAATCTGCTAGGTTGTTTCTCTTAAAGGTATTCAGGGTTTCCATATGAAGTCAAATGTATGAAAGAAACACCCTATAAAATTAAGCTCACCTTAGCTATTTCTTCAGGTGTAAGGGCACCTTTTATGTCCTGTTTATTTGCTAGTATCAGTAAGGATGCTCCAGATAGCCTCTGTTAGATGAAGAATATAAACATTGTTAATACTAACAGTTAACAAACACCCACGAGAATAAGAAAGAAAAAGAGCAACCATGTACCATTCCAAACTGGTAAACAACGAGCAACAACTACAGTTTACTTTCTCAATACTAACACAAATATTTCTTCTAAGTGTCAAAGGAACAAGCATTTATTGTGATTGGTACTCGGATCTAACATTGATAAATGATATGACGAAAATAGTATATATAAGAGGAGGACAATCCCCATTTCATGAGTTAGCTTTTGGAGTTGAGTTAAAGTGTTAAACTTGAACTCAAATTCTAAAATGGTTTCAGAGCATTGCAAACTTACTTCCCCCTCAAAATGTCCAATCCTTATTGTATATAAGTAAAAAATACTATATAAGCAGGGAGCTCATGAGCTAACTGAGTTAGGCTGAAATCCAAATTTTAAGAACTGGTATGACACTCCTACTACTGCTACAAATAATACTTTAAAGTGGTAAAAGCAATGCAAACTACTGAGTATAGATAGTATTAGTAGAAAGCATGAATAGAGTTTAGTTGAAGAAACCTCTTCCTTGAGAAGGTTATCCAACTCGAATTTGCAATCATCCAACCTTCTGAGATCTGAACTGTCAACCACCCAAACCAAACCATCTGTTTGCTCAAAGTAGTTTCTCCAATAAGATCTTATTGTTTTCTGGCCCCCAACATCCCATATATTTAGGGAGTACCTAACAATGTCAAAGTGAATTAATTTCAAGTTAAACATAAAAGAAAATGAAACTTAATGGTGAAAAGTGAAAAGTACTTTTGGTAAGTAATGGTTTTGATGTTGAAGCCGAGCGTGGGACTGATAACGCTGGTGTCCTCTCCGTTAATCTTTAGGACGATTGTGGTTTTCCCGGAATTGTCCAATCCGCTGCATAAAAAGTGATTTCAGGTATCATGGATTGACAGAATAAAAGAGAAATTGGAAGACTTACACCATCAGAATTCGCATTTCCTTCTCTTTCCGCTTGATTTTCCTGATGATGCTCAGAAGACCCATTTCGCTCCCAAAATGCTTTTCTGGATCTTCAATTTAATTCCACAATCCACACTCCACACTCCACAGGGATAAATATGCAACCCAACACACCAGTTATTTTAATACATTTTAAAATTTATACGAGAAACGTATTTTATGATCTATTTTTCTTTTTCATTTTGATTTTTGAGAAGGTAAATTGTGAAAAAAATTTATGATACAGTTTTCTTTTAAGGCTCAATCTGATTATGTTTTTCTCCTTTTTTTTAGAAAAATATTTTTCATTTAAATATAATTAAAAATTATAATAATTAAATAAACTTTTTAAACAAGTAATAACTAAAGGAAAAAAAAAGTATTTTTTCACAAGTTGAAAAAGATTTTTTTAAAATAAAGTTGAAAATTGAAAAAATTAGTTTCTAAAAAAATGTTTAAAAAAAACTATTTCATAACTTTTCAACTTATCCGTACATAAATTTAATCAGAAAATATATTACAATAAAATTTGATTATTAGTATAACTTGAGAATTTAAAATAATATATATAAAAAATTGATCAAAAAGTAATATATAATATAAACTTTATCTAAAAAGAGATATGGATTTATTAAATCACATGAAAATTTATGTTGAAATAGCAAAGTGCATAAAGCAATAAGCTCAAACTTATTGCTGTAGAAATAAATGTTAAAAATACCTTGCTTATAAGTTGCTAATCAAATAGTTTAATAGTATTAGTTGTTGGTCGTCATTATTTTTTGTTGGAACTTGGAAGAGGGGATTAGAGTGACCAATAGTTATTTATAAGAGTTGTATATCGTCAAAATTCTTTTTCAACAATACTAGCACCAGCTTTTTTATTATTATTACATGAAACTAACGCCATTGTTTATCTGTTATGTTACTTTTTAAAAGTTTAAATTCATTATTTTTTATTGACAATTTCAAGTAATCTGTTCTGTAAAACTATTAAAGTGGATTAAGTCCGATTAATCCATTTCATTTAGCCTGCTCAGAATTGCGAGTTGGTTTTGAAAATTTTGAGCTCAATCTTGTCAAAAATAATTGTTAGAACTTAAATTTAACATAATTTAAAGAAGGCTTAAATATGTTTTTAGTCCCTCAAATTTAGAATAAATTTATTTTTAGTCCTTCAAATTTAAAATTATTATTTTTAGTCCCTGTAATTTCAAAAAATCTTATTTTAGTCCTTATATTCAAATTTTGTTAAGAAATTTATCAAGCATTATTGTATAAAATTTACTTATCGATATCCCTATTAGTAAAAATATCACATTAAATCTGGTTAATATCGCATAACTGTCTTAATTAGTCACTTTCAAATATGTTATTGGTAATCTAAGAGACTAAAACAAGATTTTTGAAAATTACAGGGACTAAAAACAACAGTTTTAAATTTGAGGGACCAAATCCAAATTTACCTTAAATTTGAAGGACTAAAAACATATTTAAGCCTTTAAAGAATAATAGATTTAAACAGTTGATCATATATTTAAACATTTAATTAATTAGTAACAGCTTCTGCACTTAATTCTTATAAATCTAAAATTAAAAATTCTATTAAAAAAAAGGGCTAATGAACAACTCATTTTCACTTCCAAGTTGCAACTCGCAAAGAACCAACTGGACTAATAATTTTTAAGCTTGTTATTAAATTAACCTAACTCCTGCCTTTTTGTTTTTCAGTGACACTAAGACAGCAGATTTTTATAATACGAAATATCACAATCAGAAACGAAATTAGGTTAACATTTAACATTGCAACCAAAGAAAATTGGCCAACACTAAACGTATACGAATGAAATAAACCAACAATAATCGGAAGCTCTTTCTTCATCCTTATTATGCCATAGTAATATTATGCCATAAAGCAAAGTAAACCAATAAGACAGTCGATTGAAATATATCATGTATAATATTATGCCATATTATCAGCTTCTTTACCAATAAGAATCGGAAGCTCTTTTTTCATCCTTGTTGAGCTGCCCAGATGTGGCGGTGGAAGAGAAAAATGTATAAGGAAGAATATACATAAATCAATCTACAGTAACTCTCTTTTTTCCCTCAACAAGTGGTACACTCGTGCTCTACTACATTGGACTGATTCCTCCATGCCAATTAAAGTTAATTTTCTAATTGATAAAATTAGAAAGTTACAGGGGCAAAATTCTCTCAATATACATATTGATAAGAGGACCAAAACTATATTAATTCATGAGCCTTGGCCCTTGGGGGCTTGAGAAAGTATATACTCCTCACAAACCCTTTCCCAAGTTCCCCCACCGCTTTTAACACCTTGGAAGGGTTGTATTCTTCCTCCTCAACTACTTCCTCGAGCTTCCGCTTCTTTAAAGAAGGAAAAAACGGTTATCAGCAGATCCATTTTTTGATATTTGCAAATTAAGAATTCCTAATATACTTTGCAAAAAGTAGACTAATATAAGTCTAAGTTTTATACCTTGGAAGAAGGTAGTTCCCCCCATGTAAGGCCAATAACATCACCTCCCAGATAATCATGCCATACTTGGAATGTGGTTGAGAACTCTTGCTGCACGAGATAAAAGATAGTATCTAATTAGCAAAGAGGATATTGTGCAAAGGGAAACACAATTATGTACAACGTCAAATCATTTTCGCTGTACTTGCCTTTAAATGTCTGATAAAGCACTTTGATGGATCAAAATCTACCAGCAACTTAGTTTTAAGTTCCTCTGGCCTGCCCTTCAAATCTTTAGGCAACAAAAAGGGTTGGAAACACTTGCTGGCTTGTCCTTCTGCAACACGTGTTCCTGCAAACATTGTAAATGAGAATGTTATTTGATTGAGCATAACTTGTGAAAGGGAAACAAATACAGTAAAACATGTAAGATCAAGCTTCAAATCTTAGTCTAATGAAGTTTGAACCAATGTCATCCTGCATTAAATGTATGTTTCATAAAAAACCCAGTTATGACTATGATATAATGTATCCACCTTGCTACAATTATAACTACCAACTTATTATATACCCCCTTAGCCTTGAATCATTTAAGGACTGTTTAATTAAGTAAACTACCAGCTAATAGTTATACCATGATCAACTTCTGATGTGAAGAGAAGCCTTTGGGGATACAGGAGTTTTTCCTTGTGGAGAATAATGACTGCATCGTAATTGTTTAAAGGAGTTCTAAAAAGACACTGCAGCAAGAATAGAAAAATTCATTATGTACCTCAAAAGATATATCTTCTAAAACTAAAAGTTCAAATTAGTGATTAACTGAAACATGCGTTCCACTCACCTCCCATCTATATGGACCAATCTCTTCCTGAAATGTGAGTTTTGTCAGCAAATTGGCACTGCTTCGGGCATATGCAACTAACCTTTTAAGTTCCTGGAAAATTATTAAGATTGGTGAATAATATCAAGGCAACCAATATGTCATTATTATAAATTAGCACACACTCGAAACATATGCAACAGAATCATTGGAGTAAAAAGTGTTAAAATGCAGACATGAAGGTTAAAACATAAGCAAATCAAAATACTTATGTATGGAAAACTTAACAGTATAGTTAACGGTAGGAATTTCATATATATTTTCAGCACACTCAACTTTTACTCAACCCCAAATACTGAGGATATACTTGCAGGAAGTTTATTTTTACATAACCCAGTCTATATTATTATATATTATACATTCCTTGAATTACATGACAACAAAATGGGGGAGTGAGGAATGCAATGAAGAAACATCAGGGCCTCAGGCCTTATGTATCCAACAAAACTCAATTATTACCGATTTAAAGAGCAACTAACCATTCCACTAGGGGATAATCCAGTCCAAGCCTCGGATTCTTTGTCATAAACTGTAGCTAAGAACATCACTGGTCCTACACTTTGTCCATTCTCTCCTTCACCTTTTCTTCTTAGTAAAAAGTTGTCCTGAAAATCCATTCAAAGTATATTTTCAAAGGCCAACATTATTAAGTTTTAGACAAAACTTAGGTGCAGTTGATGTTGTTAACTTGTTATTCAATCAGAGTTGAAGTTTTACTTTGATAATATGCGTAACTAAACATTAATGAAACCTATATTAAATGCAAAAACATAATATCTAGATAAAAGTCCAAATCTAATTGAAGAACAATACCAATCATATCTAAAGAACTATAACTAAGTTTTGTCCTTAAGTTTTTACCTAATCATACACTCAGACACAACTTACATTTATTTCTTTCTCATCACTTTGGCTCAAGTCATTATTTATGTCAACAACCAGTGGAGAGAACGTCCAGTCATAGTGTGAGAGTAGCCGCAGGAACCTGTCAATGAAATCAATAAACATTAGACGGTACTATAATATGTTTAAAAAAAACATCTGAATAGGCCCAAGTCCTTTGCAGCAATCTGATATTTGAATGCTGAGTGTAAAGAGAATTTGATAGAAACCCAAGGATAATACGAGAGAAGGGGTGGAAAGGGGCTTAGTGTTCATGACTAAGGGAGAGAAAATGTAACGGCTAAGGCAGTGGAAATGTGAGAGAATGATGTATATGATCGATTTGTGGATTGATGAGAGGGCATGATAAGATATCTTCTTAGCCAGCAAGCTAGTCTTTTTTAAAAAAGAAAAGGATGATAAAAGGAGAAAATCATTAAACAGAGAGAAAATAGTCCTTAACAGTTTATTGTAAAAGAGATAAATGCAATACTTTGACAGTATGTGACGCAATGTTGAAGCAATAACTGCTTAAGTAGCCATTTTATCTTGTCAAAAAGAAAAAATTACAATTGCTTGATTAGATGAGTAACAATGATTAGGAAACTCACCTTAAAAACCCAGTGATCCGTGAGCAGGGAACATCAAATGGCAAAGGATTAAGAAAAAGATGAGCAACCAATAGCTCAACAGCCTCCTCTGCCAAGCAAGCTGAAAATAGATGTGAAGCAGCCCATCGTTTTGCAAGTCTAGACATATAAGAGGTCTAAATGAGTTACAGATTACAAATGGAATGTAGCTTGACATAGAAATCTTCAAATCTTTACCTAACTACTGGTCCAAATATTGGATAACGACTTTGTAATCCATTGATCATGTTAGCATGCTGACTATGGATAAAAAGTTTCTTGTCAATAGATGGAACCCGCTTAGCTTGATCATTCCCACCTACATGTTAAATTGGTTTGATAAGTGAAATTGAGAAGCAGCATTTCCATTTAAATCATCATTATCATATACGAAGTGGAAGTACATACTTTCCTTTTGGAGCAAATTAAGGCCCTTCTCATGCAAAATTTTTAGACGAAATGCATATCCAGACATTAAGACATCCACATTATCCTCGGTGGCAGCACATGTCATTCCCCACGTCTTTTGAAGACTGACATAATAAAATTATCATTTTGTAATAGATATTGGAGAAAAAAAATAACATCTAGAAACAAATGAAGGATCTACACCCCTACCTCACTGCAATTTGAATAAGGAAACTAGATTTTGTTTTCTCAATTGCAATTTCATCCATTGGCCAGTTCCCGGAACCTTCTAGCTGTAAAGAGCAAAAAGATTATCTCTTTATAAATTGTCTATAAAAACATCAGGATTCTGAACATCACTGTGCATAAAGCTATACCTGAATCATAACTTCCAGTGGTTGAATGCAGGATGGAACTACCTTATTCATTCTGAGAGACTCAACTTTTTCATTAGCTAGAAGATGAGGCTCAGGAGGGAAGACTGATGTAAACCTGAAAGCTGTAAATAACAATAAGCACAGAACATTGATTGAGCTCAAGCCTAAATGAGATTCATCATGTATAACTTAAACAACCTTATACTTGATTTTTTCTTCTTTGCAATTTTTTATTTAAATTTCTAATTAGCAACAGAAACACACCACCAGCAAGCATTGACCCATGACTTCAAAAAATAAAATATTTGTTCAAGAGCGTAAAATACCAGAGTCTAAAGGCTGTACACTGGACACCTTCAAAGGGAGATCTTCAATAAGACGCAAACGCTTCGATAAAACATCAAATGACCCAAGCAAACTTCCAGAGTATGATATAGGATCTGTAGGTTAATCATTTCAAAAGCACAATATAAGTAATTAAGTATAGAACATATGAGACCAAAAAGGGGGAATTCACAAAGATCTTTACCTCCAGCACCATGAAGCAAAGAGAAATCAAGTTGATCCACGACAACTACAATATTTTCCTTGGATAGAGAAAGATGCCGACTAAGTACATGCTCAGCTATTCTTTTTAAAACAAGATGCCTTGCCCATTGCTCACTTTCCCACACTAGGAATTTTTTTTAGGGAAAAAATCATCACCACGTTAGCAGTCACCAAGATACTTTATCTCAGCCAACAAGACAAGAAAGTTATGATAGGTATACTAGATCAAAGTTGAATTGTAACAATAGATGCCTCACCTGTGCTTTCTGCAATTCTACCATCTTTAAATCTTCTAAGCTCTGCTTTTTCTCCCCAAAACTTCCGGAATTCAAGAGCCTGCTTCAAATAATGGGTGAGGGCCATATAACATGCACAACAACCTAAACTTGAAAACAAAATGAAAAAGTGCGTATGAACAGAAGAATATACCTCTTCTTTACTTTCAGCATTTGGGCCAATATCAACCATCCTAAATGCTTTCTCCAAAGTACTCACTGAAATTCCTATGAACAGTGGCTCTTTATCAAGTACCGACAACCCCTGAAGTTGTAAACTCAATTAGAAACAGAAAAGAAGACCCAAAGCATGAAATACATTTTAAATGAGATACTGAAATTCATGCTTGAGATCATACATCGTGCACACTCCACTGGCATTGTGTATTTCTCCATGTAACTTGAATGGAATTTGCTCTATCATTCAACCCTTTAGATAAAATACTATGTACTTTATCCTCATATGATCTCCAGCACTCATCATCCAAACAAAATCCTGATGAAAATACCTCCTTCTTTCCCTTCAAATTTATTCTGTAAGAGCACAACATGTAATAAATAAACTTACAGCTTTTATAACAAGAAGCAAGCCCTCGTGAAAACTATTCAAGGACAGAATAACACTTCATAGAATGAAGTATCTGGATAGACAAGTATATATCATCCAGAAGAAAAGTAAAGGCAGAAGCAAAAAAGTTAACGAGTCTCCCACATGCTATCGGGTAGCACAGATAAACACATGGATCATAATACATGCCCCAAGGCTGATTATTTACATCATTATAATTATTATGCTTTCAAATCAATATCCATCGTATTATCTACATTCACCAATATTAGCACTTTCAAAAGCTTTTATGTATAGATATCCCTCCATGTCAACTGCAGAAATTAAGAGGCTGCAAAACCTTGTAAATATAAGACCATCATATTTGGATTAAATTACCAGCATATCTCACCACAACCTTTTTATATTTTCTTCTTAAAACTCTGCGTAAGTAACTATTGTTCCAATTTAAAACCCACTTATAACTCTCAATCCAAATCCATAGCCTATCCAACTGTATCTTGTTGATCCTTTCGGTAACACTACACTTAGATCCCCTTGATTAAATTTTACTTTGTCTACCAGAAACTTGAAGGAGTGCCAAACTGCTAAAGTACACAATTACAAACAAATTTTTTTTCTATTAGAAAGCATAAAAAGACGATATTTAAATAGAACATGATGCAAATGATAATCACCCATCAAAATGATATAAAACAAGGGAAATGATACCCAATGATCAATCCACAACATAGACCAAAACTTGGGAAATTAGCCTATTCTCTAAAAGAAGACCTGTAAGCACCAACTGATGTAAATATATAGGCTGGAAGAACATCACTCAGCTTTTATAAATTTATAAGTCATGTATATAATAATACCTTATTTTGTTATTTACATGCTTTTGAAGAGCTACACAAAATCTAACTATGATGACTAAAATTGACTTCATTTTTTTCATCTATACATTTCACTTATTTCCAAGTTCCAAGTTCTGCTTGCAGCTTGTTCTAACTACTTACACTGGTGAGATTATAACTAATGAATGTAATTTACATATATGTATATGATAATATAAACAACAGTGTAAAACACACTGAAAATTTCAAGTCATAATCAGGAAGAGAGCATTCCTGTAACACTATTCAAGAGGCAAAGCTCTCAAACACTGTCAATGACAAACAAATATTAAATGAAACATTACCTCATACAATAGTCATATTTAACAGCATAGTCAATCTTGGTCATAAAAACTTCCTCAAATCCACCATCTCTACACTTTTCCATGCACCTAAGAGTCAAAGCAGCCTCACCTCGAAGCTGAATATAGAAGAGCCAAAAATAAATATATAATCAAAATGAGTACTGCAATATTTATAATATTAAAAAAAACAAGTTGGTGTGCTGGCCATGAGTACCCGAGTAAAACCAATCCTAGACATTCGAAAAGCCAAATTGCATCCTCCAGATGGATGACATATGACAACTGGAAATGACTCTTTAAGTTGCATCTTTTGCTGCAAATGGGAATAGTGAACACAACATATTGCATGAGAAAAAACAATCCCAGCAAACAATGTAATGAACATAGCATGTTGGGCAAGAAACATTGCATATGTGACAACAACGAAGGACTGACAATAAAAGGAGACTTATCCCAAAAAGTAAAAAAGAGAGAGAACTAGTAAAGCAAGTTTTTGATAAATGGGGCGTTAAATTTTCCGTCGTTCAGGACTAACACTAGTGTCCAAGCAATTGGAAATATAATGAAGCTAATAGTTATTGAAGGGTCAAAAGTTTTATACTGCATTGTCAGAATATGATTTATTTAAAAGTTTGCATCAATCTAGTGTGGATTAAGTTCAGCTTATTTTGAAAAGAAAAAAAAAAGTAATAGCCTTTCTTTTTTCAGTTTTTTCAAAGTGCTTTCAGAAAATGAGAAATTATTTTTCAAATTTAGCTTTATAAAACAACCAAAAAATCTACAAAACAAAAGAACAAAGAATAAATGAAACAAGAATGCTTATGATAAATATAATAGAATGACAAAAGTAAAAAATAATTAAGCAAAAACTGAGTAAGGATCAGGACCTCTTTTGTAATGTTGATCTGGCCTTCCTTTGGAAAGTAGAGTCCTCGGCTCCACGACTCTGAGGTGGCTGCAAAACCAATAGCATTAATAATTAATAAATACCTAACTATCGTGGGAATACATATCAATTCCCATTTCCAGTCTAAGCTAATTTTTAAGTCAGTTGCAAATTGCCTACAAATTCACTAAGAAACTAAAAATCGCAGCAAAGATTATTTCTTCTTATTTTGTAATTCCTTTGTATAGAAAAAAAAAGGTATTGGTTTCAATTACACAACTTGTAAACCAAATATATTATGGAATAAAAACAATGAAAGTGCTTATTTTCTGCAACATTTTTTAAAAATAAAAATAATTTTAGACTCTTGTAAGAGAGCTAAAGAATGTTTTCAATAACATTTTGTTATATAAAAAAAAAAAAAGTGGACGTGTATCACACCCACAATATAAGACTTAATGTTGTGCAGGTATATATGCATTGGAAACCATAATTCATAGTAGACTAATCTTAGTACACTAACATGACCTTGACCAGGAAAGTTGCACAAATAAACTGAACTGCAAAGGAGAGTCTATACACATACCAATGAAGTTCAAGGTGATACGAATTATTTCAGTTGCCTTCATTGAATTGCTGATATGTTGCTTAGAAGCAAGATAAGCTAGTACGACAGAAATCAAAAACCCATTCAGGCAATCGTGAACGTATATCGAACTTCTTTGCCGAGCCCAAACCTAAATCAATGTAGACAAGCATTGGATTCAGTTTTCCACTGTAAAAATTTATTCGTTGAATCTTATGCATAAACACCCCCAAAAAAAAAATTCAAATATCAAACCTTAAGCAGGATTAAAGCCTCTCTTATTTCCTTCCATCCAATAAAATATTTGTTGATGAATTCCAAATCCTCTATAAACATGTCTTCCAGAATACTAGAATTGTACTTCGGCGTAGCCTGAAGAGCAGTCCCTTCAAGATATCAACCACCAATCATCAATACTCAATCAAAAGAAGAATCAACCATCTCAGAGAAACAGAATACAGGTGTTGTAAAAACAGACCATTACTCAAATTATGAATGTTGTTGCGCTTCATGTTCAACTTCGCTGTGTTAAATATAGCCTTAGCCGACGGAATAATCCTTACGAAAAAACCAGGAGCTTCAACAAGCTTTTCAGCTGCAATTATTTTCTTGTCAGTATCACCAATATTGTTTCAGAGTAAAATGCAATAGATTTTAATTGCGAAGCTAACACCGAGTGTAAACCTGGATGAACAATGAGCAAGGGTTTTCTGGCTTCATTCTGCAGAGTGGACCATTCAACCATACCAATAGATTTAGACTTCTCCAAATACTTTTTCATCAAGCACAGATAGAGACACCTCTTGGCATGGTATCTGTAATTTAAATAATCCTTCTCATGGAAGCATTCCTAACAAAACAGGAAAACAAGTAAAAACAGTTGCACACACCTCACTTGATAAATTAAATTACCCATTAATAAACTAATAGTAAATAATAATGGTTATTGGTTATGCTTCTTTTTCACCTTCGGTAACCTGATAATAAGATCGACATTGACTTCAGGCTTCGCAAGACTCTGTATGGAGTAACTTCCACCAATCTTAACAAACGCTGGCTTCTTAAACTTGAATTCGACCTTATCGGCGCCAATGTCCGTGACGAAACGCGATGCTAAATCCGCAGTTACCTGGAATTTCACTCGCATTAATAAGGAACGTTGCTGAATGCAACGAAAATCAAAGAAGAGTGAAAAGAGGGATAGAAGAATGACCTTGAAGTCGTTGGGGATTTTGTCGATGGATGTCTTAATGGCGGAGACGGTGTCATCGACGTGCTTGCAGAAGTGAGGAGAGTAGTCTACGTGGACCTCTTTCAATAGCTCCGTGACCTTTAACTCCGTTGAGTCCATGGCAATGGCGTCGCCCTCCATCGCAGTGAGTGTGTGTGGTGGAGACGCGGCAGAATGAATAACGGCTTGTTTGGGTTTAGGGTTTATGGCAATGGCAGAACGATGGCGGTTGACGTGTTAAATATTCGGCAAAGTTTTCAACGACTAATTGGATTAGTTTTGAAGCGGAAAAAATAAGAATTAATTTAGTTTATCTTTATAGTCATCGTAATTTATGGATAAAAAAAATAGTAGTCATAATTTATAATTAGTATTTTAGCAAATATTTATTATACATAATTAAAATCTGTAATAAATATCAAGTTTAAATATATAAATTATATTTAAAATTTATATAAATAAATTTAAGTATATAAATTATATTTTATATTTATGATAAATAATTAATATTGTAATATAAAATTATTTATATTTTACTTATAATTTATTTTAAAATATTAAAATTTAATTAATAACTAATTATAATAAATAAATAAAAACACATCATATAAGGAGTTAAAAGAATTTCAAATAAAAATTTTTAAAAATATTCATATATATATATATATATATATATATATTATCATAATACTAATACGAGGTATTTATAACGAAAAATACATTATGAACATATATAAAATAGATATTTCCTTTCGATATATTATCTTCCGTACTTAAGCCAAGCAAGCCCAATAGTTAAGCCAACAAAACTCATCGATAAACTCATTTGAAAAAAATTATATTTTATATTAATATTTATATAATATTTTTAAAGCTTTATAATTTAAAAGTTAATTTTTTTATTCTTAAATATCCTTTTAAAAGGTATATATTTAAAAATATATATAAATATAAATATTTTTTTTAAGATCCATGACTATAAAAAAATTATCAAAATATATTATTATTAATTTGAAAAAATCTTACTTTAAGACTTATTTTAAACTTAATAATTTTGGATGAGTCTTAGTCCAAAGTTAGAATTTGAATTTTGATTAACTTAATTATCGAACACAAATAACTATTATTTATATCAACTAATATTAGTATTTATATCAAATATATTATTTGTACTTTTAGGTCGCCTTCTTTTGGACTAACACTTCTAAGCTAACTTTCTAAGGATGACTTCCTTTAGACTGACCACTTTGAAGTCAAACATTAAGTTGATCATCTTAGATCAATCACTTATAGACCACGAAGTGTCTTTATAACATGAGCCTTATAGTGGGTAACTAGGATGAAAGTTGTCAAAACTAAGACGCACATTTCATGTTTTGTAAGGAAGGCAGAGCATGTTGTTGTAAATCACTCTCGCAAACAGAGACACGAAGGAAGTGTGTGTTTGTTTCTACGTTTCATCAAATTGAACGTCAATCTATCCCCCTTTTACTTCTATGTTTCTATCTTGAAAAGTGAAAAAACTCTGTTGAACGATGTTGAAACGATAAAACAAACACATCCGAAAATTTTAAAAGTCAAATGCTCTTAAACTTAACAGCATGTTTTTGTTTTTCTAATTAGCTAAACATACTTATTTTTGAATATTCAAAGAGTAAGTCATTCCTATTATCAGAATAATTATTAATCTATTCACAATTTATATTGGATTTTCTCTAATTTTATTTAATAAGAGAGATTTAAATTTATCTTCTATATCTATTTTATAAATTTTGTTATAAACACAAAAATATATAATAAAAATATATTATAATAATAAAATATAAATAAATTAATAACTTAAATAAACTTAAATATGTTTTTAGTTCCTCAAATTCAAAATTAATGTTTTAGTTATGTAATTTGAAAAATATTTATTTTAATTTTAATTTTTAAATTTTGTTAGAAAAATATATTAAATATTATCGCATAAAATCTACATCCTGTCTCTATTAGTGAAAAATTAAATATTAAATGGGCATAGTTATGTCAATCTATCACTTTTATATATATTATTGATGGCATGAGAGATTAAAAAAAAAATTAACATTTATAAAACACGATAACTTTAAATTTAAGTGACAAAAAAAAATTCCTCAAAATTTAAAAATATATTTAAACAATTTAAATATATACTTACCACATGATTGAATTGAACTTTAGAATGACACAAAAAGCTAGTTATATTTAAAAAAATATTTTGCAAACTACGAATATTTTACCGATTCAAATAACAACTTAAATTTCTAAAAATAACTTCACCCGTCATAATTTTGTTTATTTATGTATCTCTTTCATCCAATATATATACCTTACAAACTGTCTTTTTTTTTAATAATGAAAAAAAAAATTATTTCTCTTGTTTATTTATTTATTTTGCAGCTGAATTCAACTTTTTCTCTTAATTCGAATAGTGAGGAAAATTACCCTGCAGCTTCAAGTGACTTCAACAACCAAGCTAAGCTACGATAACACTATCAAGAGACTTCTAACATTCAACTTCAAGTATATTATTGGATCCAAGGCCCATACTCGTTTATCATCTCCTATCATTTTTGTTTTTTAACAGGCAAAAAAGTATTTTCCAGAAGAAGAAAAAAAACACTTCAAAAGAGTACTATAGAACATTACCCTTGACCAGCCTTATTCAAGCCTACAAATTTTAAACAATAATTTTGGTTGTTTCAATCAAACTTTTTATACTTATTATGAAAACTACATCAAGTCGTTCGATTTTATTTTATTTTTTTTTGCTAAAATTTAATTTAATTTCCAAAATGATAACGATGTAACACTTGCTTTTCTAAAGTAATTTTTTTCTTTCCGTATTAAGCAAATATATTGCGCAATTTTAATTTAATAAATCAATGATATAAATACAAAACAACTATCCGTGTCTTAAAAGAATAAGAAATCAAAATATTAGTACTCATTAAAGAATATAATTATTTTTATTATCTTTTGTCTTATAATAATAGTTAATATTTTAACATCTAAAATATACATATTAAATATTTATTGTATATAACTAAATTTTATAATAAATTATATATACAAATAAGTATTATGTTCGAATATATAAAAAAGAAAAAACATAATATGGAAAAAAATTAGTTGAGAGATGAAACTCTAATTAAATTATAATTAAATCTGGCTAGCTAAATTTTTAAACAAAGATTAATTATTGATAAAATTGATAAATATTTTATATTAATAAAATAATTATTCAAAATAAATGAAAACTGGAAAGAAAAAAAAATCCAGCTTCGACTCACCCTTTCTCATGCATCCAATCATCATGTCATTACTCTAATTTTAGGTGTTTATTGTCTGCCTCATTCTATTAAATTAATCCAATTCAAATTTATTTTTAACCATTTTTTTTGTACATAAATTTTTATATTAGAGAGCCTCGATTTCATGCAAGACCATAGTCAACAACCAACTGCGCTTTGAGGATTTTCAGTGAAATTACAAACTATTTACTCATCCCAAATTCCCAATGCAAGTCCACAAGAAAGGATACAAAGCACCATGAAAATTGGATTCAATCTCAAGCTCTAGTTAATAGGAACGGAAAAAAATTCTGTGATCTATTTTTTAACCAATTTGAATTTTGGAAAGTAAAATTGTTATGTTTTTTTACTATCTCGACCTATAATCGAGATGTATTATCTAAAATATTATTTGATTAAACCTTTACGCACTTTATGCGTGGTAGGTAAGTGAACTATCCCAACTTGTATTTGGTATGTGTTATCCGAAGAATTTTTGTAGAAAATTGTTTTTTTGTAATTGATTATAACAGGATCAATTTCTCACAAAATCCCGTGGTTTTTGGAGCCAGAAATATATAATAGTTAGATATAAAGTATCAATCTTAAAGTAAAGACAAAATATATCTTCAAATACTCTAACTTTGGATAAGAGGCAAGGTTATTTTTAATGTATTATTCATACAAAAATATTTTGACGTCTATCGTAGGATCTAGTAAAACTTATCATTGTCACACAAATCAAGAACCTTCACTCTTCTTCTAAGTTGTGTGAAGATTCTCTATCCACTTTCTGTCTTCATCAAAATATTTGTGTGCTTCATAATCTTATCCAATAAAATTATATCATTTATATTTTATTTTTAATTTATTTTTCCTAATTTTGACACCAAGTTCCACGTTAATAGCATCCAATCGACACTTATTTTCATTTTAATCATCTTTTGTGTTCCCTTGTTGATTCAAACAATATATATTAATGATTATATTATTCTTTACCCGTGTTGATTTATTAGTGAAACTTCGAGGGTGTTTTGAAAATTCAATAAAAAAGCAAAATCAATGACTATATAAATATGCAATCTTGAGAGAAAAGAAGTCAAAGACATTTAATTAGAGAAATAATTTGATTGTGAAAATTTCTATTAAATAAATAAATGAAAAATAAATTTGACACATGACAAAATTTAAGGGTCTGTTTATTCCAATAATATATCATCGTTTGTATAATACATTTATTATAATTATTTGTCTAAAAATTATTATATTTATTATTAATTAATAATAAACGTATCATGATTGTTACTAATTAAACAATATAAAAAATAATATATGTATTATTTTGTCTGTCACATCTAATTCACTAAAAAAAAGTAATAGTTGTGAAAGTTTATTTGTCTTCTTGAATAAAATCTTCCTTACTTATTTGTTATCCGATTATTTATTATTTGTTACTCTTTTCATTGGGAATTAGATAATTAAAATTAAAAAAAATTGGTAAATTGGTAGTGCAGATTTTGTCACAAATTTTTTAGATTAATATTATTTATATCAATTTTCTATTACATTTTGTATAAATATTCTGCATCCCTCCACATAACTTTCAAAGATTTTGACTTTGTTTTTATTTCTTTAAATAAATAGAGTAAGAAAATTAAAAATGAATAGTCACAATTTTTTTAGACGAATTATCTATATCACTTTTCTATTACATTTTTATGTAAATATTCTGCTTCTCTCCACATAACTTTCAAAATATTGTCTTTGTTTTTATTTCTTTAAATAAACAGAGAAAGAAAATTGAAAAATTAATAGTAACAGTTTTTTTAGATGAATATTATATATATCACTTTTTTTATTACATTTTATATAAATATTCTGCTTCCCACCACATAACTTTGATTTTATTTTTATTTCTTTAAATAAATAGAGAAAGAAAATTGAAAAATTAATAGTCATTAAAAAAATATGATAATTCAATTCTATTGTATGCATCAACTTATTTTTTTTCTTATTTGCATTTGAAATTAATTAATTACTGAACTATTAAATTTTTTTGAATTCAATTTAATCATCATATACAAAATTAACTTGAAAAGACGTGTAATTTCAGGACAACTTGATCATCACGCATAAATTAACTTAAAAGATGTGTAAGTCAAAAATAACAGTCATTACACACAAAATTGTTTCAAAAAAATGTGTAAGTTAAAAATAACTCGACCATATCATGCACAAAGTCGACTTAAAAAGTTATGCAAGTTAGAGACAACCTGACCATTACGCGTAAAGTTGACATGGAATCCTAGCCAAAACTAGACCTATACTTCGCCTTTCAAAACTTGAAAACTTTTTGTTATGTGTCTACCTTAGTGGACTATCCCGACCTACAATCGAAACATGTTATCTATAATGTTATTTGACTTAACTTTTACGTATTTCATGTTATAGGCCGGTAGGCAAGTGAACTATCCTGACCTTTAACCGGGATATGTTATTTAATATATTATTTGACTTAACCTTTATGTATTTTATGTTATAAGTTGGTGGACACAAGTGGATTATTTCGACATAACTCATATGTGTTATCTTATATATTATTGGATTTAGCGTCAATCACTTCATGCTATAGACTGACAGGCAAGTGAGCTATTTTGACCTATAACTAAAATGTGTTATCTGAAGAGTTTTGCTAGAAAATTATTTTTTATAACTGACTTAATTTATGCACTTAGAATAACTCATCATTTTATCGACTAAGAATTTATATTGTACCAAATCTAGTAGTTAATGACAATAATTGAGTATCAAAATACATTGTTTAATAATAAGACGAAATTTTAACAAAATCTCGTGATTTTAAATGCCAAAAAAATATAATAATTAAGTATAAAGTTTTTATACTGAGATAAAAAGAAGAAAAATACAATTTTAAATATTTTTACTTTGAATAAGGAGATAGGTTATCTTTAATGCATCTTTTCAGACCGAAACAATTTTAAAAACAGACCGTAGGTCAAATTAATGATTTTATTAAAATTTTAAACAAAATAAAATTGCTATACTGTAATATTACGAAACACAACACCTATACAGTTCTACTTCTCTTTCCGTTCGAAGGGCGGGTCACACGCTCTGCGCGAGCGTAGGCTACAGAATCTCGCGCATTATTTATTAGTATTTGTGAACGAATATTATTTAAGATTACAATTTAATTAATATAAGAAATTATTAATAACATTATTTAAATATATTTAATAAATTATACTAATTATAATTTGAAAGAAGAAAAATTCATAATAAATAAAAATTAAGAAACTATTTTAAATATTTATTATTTATAATAGATGATCAACTTAAAGTATAAAATAGATGATAAATAGTAAGTAAATCCGCACGCAGCATTACGAAATGGTGAAACCGAAAACGAGAGTGTGCGTTACGGGGTTTGTGTCAGTATTGGTCACCGCCTCAGAACTCAGAAGCGCAGTTTTGCACGGTCTTACATGTAATGGTTTGGTTAATTAATCATCATATTACGTGGCTCGTTGGATTTGGTGGGTCTCACCAATTGAAAATTTATACGACAATTGCCAAAGCAGCATCTAACGCCTAATCCGACAAAATTCCTAAAATCAATCAATTCCATAATAATATCATCCACCAAGATGCCACGTGGGTGTCGTCGAACAACTTCCTCGCATTGCATGCAATGCATGCAAATGTGTTCAACAATGCCTATTGCCTGGAGCCACACTTTCATAGTATTTTATTAGTGCATAAAACAAGTATTAACAGAATTATCACTAAAATAAACTTTGGGAACGAATAAAATTACATTCCTCAAAAGCAACAAGATACAACTGGAATGTCTGTCTTTCTCTCACCTGGGGGTTTGGGATATTTTTATTTTTCTATTCTTTTTGTGTTTAAATTTGTTCCATGGAGACCTTTTGGCTTGGTGGATTGGGATCGGATTGGTCCAGTGATTTTGTTGTTGACGGGATCTTCTTTGGCAGAGATTGGTAAGGTTTCAAAGTAGCAACAACATTGAAGAATAGGAATAAGAGAGGGAGGAAAAGAAGGAACAAAATCTAAAGTGGGAGGCAAAGAACCAACATATAGAAAAAGGGTACCGTATTGTAGGAGAAACCTCGCTACCTAAGAAAGTTAACTTCTTGTCAGTATCATAACATCTGAGACCACACTCTGTAACATCTAATTGTCTCCTCTATGGAGGTCTAACCTTTTGGTCAACTGGTCAAAGGTGGTCTTAAACCCCTGTGTTTATAGTATGCACCTTAAAAGAACATTTCTTTATCTTTCCATTTTTAAATTTCTTATTATATTGCCATTTGTCGTTCATGTTTGGAAGTAATTATGTAAAGAGTTAATCAAACAAGTTTGCTTATTTTTAAATTAATCATCAAGTACGTACTTTATGGCAAGTGGCTGTATATATATATTGATCCATTAATTAATATTGATCCCTTGCTTGCTATTCACATTTTCATATTTGAAACGGTGTTACGAGTTTAGGGTTTATGTGTCAATTTTTTGAAAAAACCCTCAATCAATTAGATTTTTTTTTGTAATCACATTTAAACTAATGTATGCTGTTTGCTAATTTGCAAATGCATTAATTAATTTCTTTTATTCATAAAAAATTATATAGATGAAGATTGAATTTAAGTTCTCTTACTTTTATTTTAATCTTTCTCTCTAACCATTATATATATTGATTTTAGTGATCAACAAATGTATTAATTTAATTATATAAAGCTCGGATATTATGAAGCCTATAGATAAAAAACAAAATATAATATATTTTTTTATAAAATATCTTTTGTCATAAATGCAAATATTAGATTCTCGACATTTTTTTATTTTAAAATTTCTTAAATGACTTTTTTTTAGCTTGCCACCGATGTTCTCAAAACATTAGACTAAATATTAATCGCTATATCGCAACTGTCGCTTGCTTGAAATCTTAAATGAATTTGATATGCATTTATAATTTTTACTCAATGTCTCTTTGTTTACATATTCTCATTTTATAATTTCATCTAACTTTGTACAAATTAAAACAGCAAACTTTTAATTCATTATTTGAGTAGGACTAGATACAATTAAAACTGAATTTCAGCCTCTTTTATTTCTGGCCAATTTGTTGGTAAGATAGTGAAGCCTTGAGGGTATCCAAATGAATAGAAATTAATTCTAAATAGTGTCTCAGTTTAAGTAACACTTTCTCAAAATGAGATTTTGAAAAATAAATTAATACTGAGCTAAATTATTTGCATTTTGCAACAGTACCGACATGTATCAAAGGTTGAAGTGGGACACTAACGATGGCAACATAGCGTTGGATCCTATATATGTTGTGTGAACTTTTTCGGGAGCTTTTTTTTTTCTTCTCAGATTGCCGTTAGAATTTTGAGTTGTGTACGTAAACTTGGAATCATGGTTTTGAAGCCCTTTTGCAGATGATCACGAGATTAAAGTGAATATTGAATGTCGCTTGTGTTGTTGCTGGTCTTCGGAGTAGCCTATTCCAATCATTTCAAATTTGGACAATGTTATGTTATTTTATTTCCCCTTTCACATGATTTGAAACTTGGATTGGAGAGTTGATACTCCCCCAGGCCTGGCGAATATATTCTATGGACAGATCTGAGTTCTAAATTTATTTTTTCTAATCCTAGTTTTTGCTCGTAGTTTACGATACAAAGCAAAGATATATAGAGCATCTTTTGGAAAGCGGTGGTGGTCATCAATCTCTAGACGATCTGATTCTCACTCTCAGTGAATGTTTTTGAATCTTTTCATCCATGTTCCAGAGGACTTTGTTTGGGCTTGGCTATCATGAATCATGATGTGGGGCACCTCTCTGTTTTTCTTTTTAAAACAACTCTTAGTTTTGGATTTTCTTTTATTTTTTTTTTCTTGCCCTTTTCTTTTCTTTTCTTTTTGCAATGCCTTCTTTGACCCGAACTAACACAAGGTTGCTTGCTCTGATGATTCAAAATCTGAGGGATCTTCTACAACTTGTACTGTTCTCGCATAAGCAACTGCTCTTAAAAAGCAATGTTGTGATGAGGTTGGGATTCGGGGCATGAGGTACTATGATGACAAGCTTGGCTTTTGTTTCGGATTCACGTGATTCGCACGGTACGGTAGGAAAAACTGGTTGTTGTGGTTATTGTTGGTGCAGATTTGATGGATTGGACTCCCTATAACAACTAACGGAGTGGGGGTCTTTGGAGCTAGGAGTGGTCATTGTTCTGTTGAAAATGTATCATCCCATGGACACATACCCCACCTTCATTAACGTGGTGCGTGACACCCACACTCACAAATACTATTCAATATGACATAAAAATAAAAATTAAAAGACATAGTATAGTATATGATGAATGAAAAAGAGAATATAGAATTGAATGTTTGATTAGGAGAGCGTTGGGAATTGAATCAATTGATAGTGGATTTGCAAATCCAAGGATGCAGGTATAGTGTAATATTGGGATTAGAGCGTGGTGGAAGAGGGAAGGGAGAGGAGCGTGAGAATAAGGCAGTGGCAGAGGCAGAGGCAGAGATACGGATATTGGGTTTGAGACACTAAAACCTCGTGATCGGAAAAGGCAGATCCATGGAAGACTGTTCCCGCTGGTCACGTGGGTTCTTTTGACTACCCATTACCCAATGACCAAAACAAAACCTCTCCACCCTCTCTTTTCTTTTCTCACTGCTTACCTGCTACTGGCTACTGGCTACTCGCTACTGGCTACTCGCTAGTGCTATAAAATGAAACTACGCAAGCCCAAATCTTGCATAAAGTCACCCACGGTGCCATACATAGAAACTAGAAACTCAACACACCCATTGCCATTGCCATTGCCATTGCCACTGGGTCCCTCTCATTCTTTCTTTAATATTTATTATTACTAGTTACAAGTCTCATATCATATACTTTAACCTAAAGCCCCCTCACTCTCACTCACACACTCTCTCTCTCTATATATATATATGATTATATCCTATCCCTCCATTTGCAATTAACGACAAGGTGGACTGCAGGTGCTGACTGGTATTTCGACATCTTATAAGCTCACGACAACACCCTCTTCTCATTTCTCCGTACCACTCAGCTCTTTGTTCCAAGTCTAACGTTGTATTATTGCAATCCCCACTCCTTTAAATCTCCCCTGACCTCACTCGGAGGATCAATATTATTATCTATCAATAACATGCATCGGTGCTGCAGTAGTGGCTCCCAGGGGCACGTCATGGGACTGGGACCCTGCACATGTGGGATGTTCCACACCCAAACAAGTTCCTTCTCCATGCTCTTCTCCATGCCCAACCACGAATCCCAAATCTACGACTACTCCTCCTCCCCCTCCGTCGACTGCACCCTCTCCCTCGGAACCCCTTCCACCCGTTTCTCCCAGGACCAAGAAAAACCAACCAAACGCCGCTCCGTCTCCAACTTCTGCTGGGACATACTACAACAATCCAAACACAACAACCCCCAATCCCAAACCAAATCCCCACGTCCCACGAATACCACCGACTCTCTCCTCGCTCGCCGCTGCGCCAATTGCGACACCACTTCCACGCCTCTTTGGAGAAATGGACCCCGAGGCCCCAAGGTAATTAATTACCTAAAAACTATATTACTATTTTTTCATTTTTATTTTACCTGCCTGTAACAAGCTTTGAAACTAGTTATTAAATAACTATATTAATCATGAGACTCAACGAGGTACTAATTATTTTTGTGTGAATTGGATTGCAGTCGCTGTGCAATGCGTGCGGGATAAGATTCAAGAAGGAGGAGAGAAGAGCGAGCGCGGCGGCGGCATCCGGCGGCGTGATGGAGTCGGCGCAGGCGTACAATAACTCGTGGTACGCGCAGCAGCAGAGTCAGAAGATGCAGTGCTTCTCGCCGGGGATGGGGAGCGAGTTCCGTTTCGTGGAGGACGCCGATCGAGACGCCGAGAACGGCATTCCGTTTCTCTCTTGGAGACTCAACGTGACGGACAGAACCAGCCTCGTTCACGACTTCACCAGATGAACGTTGAAAAAGAAAAACAAAAAAAAAAAAGAATTAAAATAAAGCATATATAAGAATAATGACAGAAGAGAAGATTACAAAAGGAGGTAGTAACGTGTAGTTACCATGAACCGGTCAAGAGGCAGTTATACGTCAACGTTTTACGATGATGTTTTTGATTGCGATGGTTACGGTCGGTCTCGTCGAGATTATGTTTCTTTTTTTTACTTTTTAGCTTTTCCGTTTTGTTTGCTTCTTCCTTCTCTCCCTCTTGGTGTGAGAATGGATAATTCTATATTCTTAGCCTGTTTTTCGATCCTTTGGACTTACTATTTCTTTAACTTTCTCTTTCAGTTACATATAACCTACTTTTTTGTTGCTTCACTTTCCCTGTTGGCTTATATATATAGTTCTTGTTGACCATCACATATATGTATGGACCGTTTGAATCATTTGATTACAATTTACAAAGATATTTATAACTTAGTAAGCATTTTGCAGGTGTTATGTGTTACACGTGACCATGATTACCTCTTAGAGCAAACTGTTTGTTTATGCTTAAGCAGAGTCTGAAACTTTTGGGTGGTTGTTTTCATTTTTCTGATTTCTACAGCACAGACATTCATACCCGAACCAACATAAATAGATACAGGTGCATTTACTTCGTTCTGGTGGTCCAATGAGTCAACGTTGGATCACGGTTCTCTCTGAACTGGACACTGCACTTCAGAACAGGAAAACTTATTTCTTTTAATGATAAATCCTATTTTTTACACTTCACCACAATTAATTTAATACAAAATAGGAATGTTTATATTTTTAAAAAGAATTTAATTCGAATGTAACCGGTTTTTTTTAATTTTTAAATATTGATTAATTGATCCATTCTTTTATAAAATATATTAGTTCCATGTTGAATCAATTTCAGTACAATTATCTATTATGTACTTAAATATCGATATGTGTTTGGGAGAATCAAAATTAATCAACGTTTTATAAAAATAGATCTAATTTTATAAAATGAATTGGTGTGGAACTTTTTAAAAATGAATCAAGTTTTTCTTCTTTTTTTTTTTTAGTATGGATGAATTTGAATCGATTTGAATTTTTATCACACCATTAATAAGAAATAATATAAAATTTGTAATTATTTAATAGAATATAATTAGTTTAAAAAAAAAGAGAAATTGATATTTTAAAAATATATTTTATATAATTAGATTTTTATGTAAAATATATTATTAAATATTTATTTTTTATTAATTAATTAATTATTTATTTAGATAATAATAGTTTAAGGCAAATTTTGTCCATACATTTTGGGTTAAAATTTCACACAAATTCACCCTTAAGAGATTAAAATTAGTATTATATGAATTCCATCACAAATTCACTTTAATCATCTCTATCAAACACACATTTTTTTAAAAATTATTTGATAATTTATCTATTTTTTTTTCATTCCTCACTAAATTACCTCTCTCAACCACACAATTACTGTTACAAAATTAAAATTTCTATCATGAGGATGAGGCTATAATTAGAAAAAGATTTAAATATGTTTTTAGTCCCTCAAATTTAAGATAAATTTAATTTTGGTCCCTCAAATTTAAAATTGTTATTTTTAGTCCTTATAATTTTTAAAAATCTTGTTTTAGTCTCTTAAATTACCAGGAACATATTTGAAAGTGACTAATTAAGACAGTTATGTAATATCAATCGAATTTAATGTAATATTTTCACTAATAAGAACATTAATAAGTAAATTTTATGTAATAGTTAATGTTTGATAAATTTATTAACAAAAATTGAATATAAAGACTAAAATAATTTTTTTTCAAATTATAAAGACTAAAAATAATAATTTTAAATTTAAAAAAAAAACATATTTATCCTAAATTTGAAAGACTAAAAACATATTTAAATCTTAAAAAAATTACAATTTCTTAGTTAAAAAACATTATTACTGTACTCTCCATACTTCTTTTGAAATATTTCAATAAAGTTTTTTCATCCAAAATTTATTTATTTATTAAGACACGTTTATGAAGGACTTTATATTAAATGTTGTACTACTATTTTTCTTTGATTTTTTAATGATGATTATATAAAGGTTTTTCTTAAAATCATGTCAAGATAATGTATTAAAATTATTGGTGCAATATATTAATATATTTTGTTATATATTCAATTGTATCTCTTTTGCATAGCAGTGTGCCAGTGCATACAGTGACATAATATCTTTATCTTCTTGGAATACCGCATTGAATCTAATCGTCCAGTGAAAGTTTATGCTGCAGTAGCTTTCTAGCTGGAATTGAGCTTTTCATCATAAAACCTAACATGATTGACGGTACATCTTTTTATACTCATATAGTAATAATTAAAATCACCAATGTTAACCGAATTCACAAATCCAACCTTAAACCTTAATTTATTATATTTTATAAGAAAAAAACAATATTAAGAAAATAGAGTATAAAGGATATTCCAATCTATGTACAAAATTTAAGATAACGACCGAATACATATCAATAGTTCATTTAATTAATTTATATATACTAGTTATCTATCGTTTAGACCTGCTGTCAACCATTTTCATGACTTATATTTGATAGCATCTATAATCTCCCTAATATTTACTAAATCATTGTTAAAGACAATGTTATTTCTATGTAATCAAATACTCCATACTATAACTACCCAAATAGTTACTACATACTTTCATTTCTTTTTTACACCCACAAAATCACACATATCCAATAAAAGATCCTCTAAATACTTTGGCATACATGAAGAAAAGCTCAACCAATACCAAATCGAATACCATATACTGTTAAAAATAGAAAATGCAAGAATAAGTGATTCACCTCTTCGTCTTCATAATTACATAGGACACAAGATTCATTTAAGAACAACATATCACACTTCACAAGCTCCTTATGTACCTGCAAGGCTTGTAATAACAATTGCCAAGAGAACAAACTAACCTTTTTGGGAACCAGTGTCTTCCACATACGGCGCAATGCCAACACCACACCGTTATCAACAACATAGCCTGCAAAAAATAATCATGCAAAAAATCATATGCAGATTTCACCGTATATGCCCTTGATGTATCACAGTTCCACACTAACATATCTGGCATGTATAATCCCAGTTGTACATCACCAATGAACCCTATCAATTCACAAATCATTGTCTCCTCCCGTTGAAAAATTATTTGTCTTCGCCATTGGAAATCCCACATCCAAACACCTTCAACAAATCGACCATTTTCACTAATTTTGGACTCTTTATTTGCAGCCACAAAAAATAGTCTAGGAAAAACCTCTCTAAGAGCAACACCTCCAACCCACTTGTCCACCCAAAACCTCATTGTGGTACCATCACCAATAACACGGTTAAACTAACATCCACCCAAAAATTAGTCTGTTGACACACCCACGTTACATCCTTCTACCAATCCGATGCTTTTTGATCCACACTATCATGTCTCATCATCGATGAAAATTCACCATATCGTGCTTTGAGAACTTGTACCCATAAAGAATTTGGAAATTTCAAATCGTGCCACACCCACTTTCCTAATAAGCTCATATTGAACCAAGCCACGTTCTTTATCCCAAGGCCACCTTCTTTTATAGGTTTACAAACTTGGTCCCATTTTACCCAACAAATTTTAGAGGACTCCTTGACCCTAATCCACAAAAAACGTCTTTGAATCTTCATCACCTCTTTAATAATAGGCGGAGGCATTTTCAAAAAAGACAAATAACGTAAAGGGAGACTGTTTAGGACAACATTAAAAAGATTCACCCTCCCCCCAATAGAAACATATTTGTGTTTCCAAGAACCGAACTTTTTTTTTTTTTTTTGAAACAGCAAATGTTAATTGTTAATTGTTAGTTGTTAGTGGGGGGATTCGACCCCACCCCCTCCTTATCACTCCAACCCTATGTCCCTCCCCCCAAGCCACTTGGACCACCCTTATCACTCCAAGAACCGAACTTATTACGCAAAACCTCTAACAAGCGCTCCCAAACCATCTTACGCCTAGGCTTATCACCAACATACAACCTCAAATAACGAAAAGGCAAAGTCCTCTCTTTACAATTTAAAAGAGCAGCCGTTGTCAATAAAAAATATTGGTCCACCTTTACTCTAATCAAACAACTCTTATGAAAATTAACCTTCAAACTTGAAATTAATTCAAAACAACGTAACACTGCCTTTAATGTCCATAAATTCCTCTTTGTTACTTCTCCTATCAACAACGTGCCATCTATAAATTGAAGCAAAGAAATTTCAAGTCCATCGTCCGCTTAATTCCCTTGAAAAGGCCTTTTGACACCGCATTACGCATCAAATAACCTCCTAAACCTTCCTTCAGCTGCTATTAAAAACAAAAAAAGTGATAAGGGATCATCTTATTTAAAGCCTCTCCCAATCAAACCTCTTAAATCCTAAACCCTAAATTTGTCTATCATATTTTTTTATTAAGTGGTGTTTTTTTTTACACCTTTTATTAAGTCACTTTATACTTTTATCTTAATGAAATTATGTACTTTCTCATCGTGGGCTGAATTTTCTTACGGTATATACTTATGTTTGAATCAAAATTTACATTTATTCAAATAACATTAAATATAATGAGATATTCATAAATTATCTTCAAGTTAAAATACAATTATATCAAATTCTGATATTTTTAGAATATAAAATATTTTTCCTTTTATATTTTAATTAATTTATTTATTTATCTTTATTTGAATAATTTTTCATCAACTAAACCAAAAATTAAATTATTAATTATTAATTTATTGTTTACAATTTTGCAAAAATATCTGCAAAATAATAAAATTATATGAGATAAATACTTATCAGTTATTTATTACTTATTAAAAAAGTGTTGGCCGACCAGGATGTGGGCGTTTTAGAATTATAAAATTCACTTTGTCAGCGTGTCAGATTATTATTACTAGCAAGCTGGAGTGAAGGAATTTTATTTTTTTACAAAGGTTGCATTGTTGATGTAGGATTCATTTAATTATTTTCCTACTTTAATATTCACCGCCATAAATTTGGAAGTTGCATTCGAGTTTTTTACGAAAAGTTAAGGTTTGAATCTTTTTAGTTATCGATCATATATGTGTGTTTTGGGGTATGGGACTTATCAAGAACTTTCAGTTAGATAGTCACTAATTTTTTTTATTTTATTTGGTTAATGGACATAGGTAAATTTTTTTTACTTCTCTATTTTTTTTAGGCAGTAACTTCTCTTTATTTTTAATTATTAATATAATTCAAATAATATTTTAAGTAATAAAAATTTAATATAAGATCTTAAGTATTTTATTTTCTTAATTTTTATTTTATTTAACTACTATAATTTTTTATTATTGAAAATATTTAATATATAAATTAAATTATAATTCTATATTTATATGTATATTATTAATTAATGTTATAAATTATATATATAGAGAGGGAATTATAATAATACAGGTGTAATTTTTACTAAGTATTACACTATTCAATAATTTTATATTAAATGTGAATTTTGTAAATTCAACAGTTAAATTGAAAACTCTCTCTTAGATTATATATACAAATTTTTATATTGATCCAAGATGATTTGATACTTCATTCTTATAAAATAAAATTGACATAATATATACATCTCAAAATATACAAAAACATGAACATTTTAATTATCTTTAAATTATTGTTCAATTTTAACAAATTTTAATATATACGTATAAAGTGATATAAATTAAATTTCAATCTAATGGTTGAATTTACAAAATTCACATTTAATACAACGTTATTAAATGGTGTAATAATACCGGTATAACTTTTACTAAGTATTACACATTAATAACGTTATATTAAATGTAAATTTTGTAAATCCAACCGTTAGATTGAAAGTTTATATCACTTTATATGTTTATATCAAATTTTGTTAAAATTAAACAATAACTTGAAGGTAATCAAAATATTCATATTTTAGTATATTTTGAAATATATATATTATGTCAATTTTATTTTATAAGAATTAAGTATCTATTCCAGTAAAGGGATAACAATCAGAGAACCCTTAGTCACGTGAACCTTAAGAGAACTTAGCTACCGTCTTAACCTAGAACATTCAAGAATGAGAAAAACCCTAACTTTCACCAGTCCCCTTTCTCCTTATTTATATGGGTCCCATATACGTAAATCGGATCTTTGATCCTCATCCCCTTAAATGCGCTCGGATCCCTCTCTATAATGGGCCTATGAACCGTATTTATAATTGTAATCAAATCTACGCAAGAATTGCAAGAATCATATAGTTTTATCGGAACTCACTCTATCAATACGTCAATGACTAGCCTAAAGTTTGGGTTGCTCGGTCGGATGGGACCAGGAAGGTATGCACTGTTCGGTCAGCTCGGCAAATTGAGTATCAAATTATCTTAAATTGCTATAAAATTTTGTATATATAATCTAAGAATAAAGAAATTTCAATTTGATGGTCTTACAAAATTCACATTTAATATAAAATTATTGAGCGATATAATACTTAGTAAAAGTTACACTAATGAACACGTTGATTACTTTCAATTTGTTGTTCAATTTTAACAAAATTTAATATACACATATATAAAGTGATATGAACTTTAATATGACGGTTAGATTTTTAAAATTGACATTTAATATTAAATATTGAACAATATAATACTTTGTCAAAGTTATACACCTGTTATTATAATCTTTTTTTTTTTTTCCTACTTTCTCTCTCTATATATATATATAATAAGAGTATCTCGCTATTCACTGTCATGGTGTAATGCCTCTTCTGTTCTGACAAATAATATGTTAGCATGTGAATTAAATAAAGATAAAATATGAATTTTAAAAAAATGCAGTTTGGGGCAATGGTTCCCGTTCCATCATCCCCATAGGCCGCGGTGCCTCGGTGAGCAAAGTCTCCTTCTGCCACCCCTTCCGGTACAAGAAGCAGAATGAGCTCGTCGTCGCCACCTAGGACTTGTACACCCACCACTTTATCTACTGTGGCACACCCGTCCCTCATTGTAAGGTAGCAACACACTATAATTGGTAAAGGAGCCCATGCTTCTGAAAATTATTGAAACAACTAGCACAAGTAATGCTGAAACGCATTAAGTGACAAATGTCTGATGGAGTTCACTGTCTGGGACCAGCTATAACCTCTTATTTTATTTAATAATATATATTTATATTTATATTTATATTTAATGTAAGTCTATTAAAATAAAATTTTAATTCTGATAAGAAAATAAGAGGAATGAAAAATAATTAAGAATGGTAAGGGAAGTGAGTCTTATCCTTTTAAATACGTAAACTAAACTGGTTGGAGCAAGAGAGAGAGATAGCATACTGGTGAAGAAGATGGTTAACTTAGTGAAAGCATATGGGTGGTTGTTGCAGTGGTTGATAAAGAGGGTGGGGTTGAGACCCTCCACGGTGGAGATAGAGCCAGGGACGGTAATGAGATTCTGGGTCCCATGCGACGCCGTTTCGAAGCCGGTGGTGGTTCTCCTGCACGGTTTCTGCGGCGACGGTATCATGAACTGGCAGTTCCAAGTTACAGCATTGGCCAAAGACTACGCGGTTTACGTGCCGGACCTTCTCTTCTTCGGCGGTTCCGTCAGCGACAAGGCGGATCGGTCGCCGGCGTTTCAAGCGGAGTGTGTGGCGGCGGGGTTAGGGAAGCAGGGAGTGGAGAAGTGCGTGGTGGTTGGGTTCAGTTATGGTGGGTACGTGGGTTTGGAGATGGCTTGGTTGTGCGGTGAGCTTGTTGATGGTGTTGTGGTTTCTGGCTCCGTTGTGGGTGTAATAGAGAACGTGGTTTTGAGGGCAGTGGAAGGTGCTGGCTATGGTTCGTGTTCGGAGATGTTGTTGCCAACCTCTGTTAAGGAACTCAAAACCCTTTTCTCTGTCGGTGCTCACACCAAATTCTGGCTACCCAACCGTTTGCACCGAGATTTTCTTCAGGTTTCAGCTCTTCAACCCTAGCTTGTTGCTGTATTTGGTAAATAAAGCTTTAAAGGACAAAAACCGCCCACAAAACTAACATAAACATAACCAAGCTACTTTTTCTTTTTCTCTTTTAGGTCCATTTCAAGGATATACTTTTTTTATTTTCTTTAATCAATGTTAGGTCCATTTCAAGGATATTTATATGCACATAGAAAAGAGAAAAGATATCGGTTTATTTTAAAAGAAAATCTATTTAAATTTATTTTAATTAATAATTCATATTTTATATGATTTAATTATTAAATTTAAATTTTTTCATACTTAAATCAAGTCTTTAAATTTTAAAAAATTTAAAAATTATTTGATATTTTATTTTATAAGTTTGAATTGATGGATAATCATAAAAATATTTTATACTTGAATTGAATTAATGAAATAAAATATCAAAGTTTTTAAATTTTTAAAAAATTTACAAATCTAATATATATTAAAAAAATTAAATTTAACAGTTAGATCGTTAAAATCTGATACATGACATGAATTATTGAATAAAGTAAGTTTAGATAAACTTAATCATGGAATAAACAGATCCCTCTTTACACACATATATAGTATAATATTATACATGTTACTATAAAAGATAATATTATATAAAATATGAAGATAGATTAAATTATATGAATGTGAATTTTACCGATTATTATATTACTTAATAACATTTAATTAAATGATTATTTATCAAAATTTAATGTTAGATTGAAAATTTATTTCTCCTATAATATGTATACAAAATTTTATATTAATCTAAATTATTTAATAATATATTTATATATATTAAAATTGAAATAATATTACATTTTGAAATATACTAAAATATAGATGATTTGATTATTTCTTATTATTGTTTAGTTTTAACAAAACTTGATATACATATTTCATGTAATATAAGATTATAATTTAATGATTGAATTAATAAAATTCACTTTTTATATAAAATTATTAAATGATATAACAGATAACAATTATATTAGTGTAATTTGATCTTTTCAAATATAATATATATTACTATATATTTTTATAAATTAATATTCAATACAATAATATGTTATTTTTATTATATATGTTTTGCTATTTTGTATAGTATAATATAATCTGTATTTAAGAAAAAAAAAGGGAGATATCTTGTTTCGATTATATATGTTTCTGAGTTTTTAGGTAATTGTATCCTTATTCAAGGATAATGTATAGTTTATCCATAACAATATATAAATAGGATATTTTGTATTTTGGTTTTTTTTTTATTTTAACAATGATATATATCCTTGCATAATTATAATTTATAACAATATATAAAAAGGATATATTTTTTTTATTCGAAACAATTATATCCTTATTCAACTATAATATATAACAACTTAATAATAATAAAGTGGTATTGGAATTGAAATAACGTAATAATAATTATCAAAAAAAATATCTTATATATGTGTCTCCTTAAAAAAAAAAGATAAAATAATAAATATATTATAGTAATTTGTCCGATTATTAATTAGAGGTTATGTATAGTTATTAAACGTAAAATCAGAAAGATAAAAGTGAACATCAAATGAGGTCTTAGAAAAGTAAATTAAGAATATAACTTAATTTTATAAATATGACTTAAAAGGTGGGAATCGCTCTTCACTTGTATATACTTTATTGACCTTATCATTAGTCGATATAAGATCTCTAACATTTCTTTCTTATGTTGAGGACTCTTGAGTGTGAAGTTTGCAAGACTGGGCATCTATAAGTGAATCTATAACAGTTTGATAGTTAGTCAAACAACATGAATTGTTAAGATATATTTTGATATCATCTTAAGAAAATGGTTTAAGGACCTAACTCTAACTTCTAAAATCGACTTGTAAGATGATGATTGATCTCCACTTATATACACTTTGTTGATCTTATCAATTATCACCGATTGATATGAGATTTTCAACATGAAGGAATCCATTTTATTATTAGTATAGATATAAAATGTATTATAACATGATTAAATAACTTTGAACAATCTTCAAATAAATTAAGAGTGAGGAAATAAGTCCATTCACATAATTTTTGTGAAGTTAATGTTTTTATGTGACAATAACATCACAAATATGAAGTTTTATTTGCTAACGTCACTACAAAAAATACCTACCTCAAATCAACCCACAAAAAAAAAGTCCTAAGAGGTAATTAAAATGAATTGACACAAACTTTCAAAATAATGAGTTTAGTTCTAACTCAATCTTACAAATTAACTTGTAAGGTAGAATTTTAATTTTCATCACTTATATACATTAGTATAACCTATTTTAGATGACGTGAGATCTCCAACATCTCCCCACGCCGAGTAGGAGTGTAAAATTTTTTTAGGTCAATCTTAATTGATCCAATCCATTTAGAAAAAAAAGAGTAAACTCTTTCATTTTATAAAACCAATTTGGTTACTTGGTCCATTTTTATAAAGTATATCAGTTCAATTTATAAAATAAAAAAAATTCATATATGAGTAAAAAAATGAACAAGTATACTACATAGCACTAATCTAGTTTTAAAAAAATCTAATCTATATTTTATAAAAAATAGTTAACTGATTCACTTTATAAAAAAAATGAGTTGATTAATCGATCTACTTTTATAAAATGAATTGATTTAGTTGAGATTTTTTTATTTATAAATCTAATCCATTAACACTCCTAACATTAAGGACTAGGTTTTTTAAACATAGTTATTATCTTTAAAAAATGATTTAAGAGTTTAATTCAATCTTATAAAATTAATTTATAAAATAAAAATTATTAATATTTATATGCATTATTATGACTTTATCTTAAAGATTTCTAAAAACATCATAGAAAAATCTTACATTCTAGGCTAACTAAAATTACTTTACAAATGCAACTTAAAGTTAGCACGTAATTCACAAATTAACTTCCATGAGCACAACTGATTGCAGGCAATGTACTCCAATAGGAAGGAGCGAGCTGAGCTATTAGAGGCCTTGGTCAATAGCTACAAAGACATCAACATCCCAAAATTTCAGCAGGTTAAATCTTCATTATTTGGTGTTTGATCGAAACTCGTATCATATATTCTCCAATCTTCCATAACCTTTTAATGTTGCATTATGTTAATTTTTACAACTTTTCCTTTCGCAGCGAATACATCTTCTATGGGGTGAAAATGACAAAATTTTCAAACAAGAGCTTGCGCTTAAAATGAAAGAGTAAGAAATCCAAAACCACAAAATATATAATTAAAATAAGAGGTGGATTATAATAATATCGGTGTAACTTTTACTAAATATTATATCACTCAATAATTTTATATTAAATGTCAATTTTATAAATCTAACCGTTAGATTGAAAATTCTTTACTTTTAGATCATATATACAAAATTTTATATTAATCAAGATAATTTAATATTTTATTTTTATAAAACAAAATTGACGTAATATATACATTTCAAAATATATTAAAATATGAACATTTTGATTATCTTCAAGTTGTTATTCAATTTTAGCAAGATTTGATATAAACATATAAAGTGATATGAATTTTCAATCTAACGGTTGGATTTACAAAATTCACATTTAACATAAAACTATTGAGTAGTGTAATACTTAATAAAAGTTACACCGACATTATTATAACCCTCCTATATATATATATATAAGAAATTACCATATTTTTATATATATAAAAAAAAACTTCAAACTATCATATACTACATCTCACTCCTAATTAATACTTCTTGTAGTTTCTAAAAGCACATTATATGAAGAGACAGAATTAGAGTCCATGTATTTTTTTAAAGAGTTTATAGACAATATATATCATCTCTAGTCCCGAATATAAATAACAAATTGATTTTTTTTTTGTCTTAACTACGAATAACAATCATTAATTTTTAAAATACTCAAGATTAAATTTCTTTTATACCTTTTGTTCTTACCGGAATTTGACCGTAGGGGTGATCCGTCCAGTAAGATCGGTGAGCCTCCTTTGCTTGATGTATTGGTGCTCCAAGATGGGGGAGGTACCTGCAAAAAAGACTCCGATGCCAAAGTTAGGGTTTGTAAGAGTAATAGTCTCGTATTTTTTTTTTTTTTTTTATTTAGAAATTATTAAGGTCGTGTGGTTTAATAGTTTGGCAAAAAATACAAATTCAAACCTGCCATTTCGTTAAAAAGACAAATATAAAATGCCTACATTTTTTAATAGTAACATAACAGTCATATGTTTCATAGCGGAAGAGAAAAAGGAAATATAAAGAGCAATGGAGAGTAATGCCAAAAGATCACGTGTTTTGGCGATCACATTGAAATATATGTTAAAGTGATCTTATAAATAAAAAATTAATAAGAGAAGTGTATTTAACAAATTAAAAGTGTGTAAATAGCAAAAAGTCATACGCCGATTCTTCTATTCTTCAAATGGTCGACGTAAGAAGCTCAACTTCACTGAGGGGATTGGGCCTTATATGGGCTTCCCAAATGGAGCGTTTGTGTGAAATGTGGAAGCCTATAGGCCCATTGGCATGTGGAAGCTAATTAAAAAGGCCCTTTCAAGTTCTATCCTTCGCTACTCACTATTCAATTTATTTATTCTAGTTTTTGGTCCTTTCAACTTGTGGCTAATTTGTCTATAGTAGGATTGGATTACCTGTATTTAGCGATTAATTCACTTCACCTCATTATCCTTCATACTCATATAACTATCAATTGTGTAATCCATTGATAATTGCTGAGGGAACAATGTTTATGCCAAAATGTCCATATTTAGAGGGTAAGAGAAGAAGAGCTTGAAGAAATATTTCTACATTTCATATATCCTCCTACCCTTGAGATGAAAATGCCGCTGCACTATACTTTATAAATGTTGGGATGCAAGCAAAGCCTCACATCGTTCAAACAATAAGATACACATGAATTTATATACACACTTGTCTCCATTGGTTAAGAGGCCTTTTGGGCGATGTTCAAAAACAAAATCATGAGGGCTTGGGCCCAAAGCGGACAATATCACCAATGTGGAGACATGTGTATATGTGTGTAGTAACCCCCGATGCACAACAATGAATAACTTTAGAAAGCAATTGATAACGATTATTTTTAACATTCTTTTTTGAATGGAGACATGTGTATATATGTAGTAACCCTCGATGCACAACAATGAATAACTTTAGAAAGCAATTGATAACGATTATTTTTAACATTCTTTTTTAAAGATTCAAAATGGAAACACTGAGAGCCGTTGTTATATATATTTTATTATTTTGTATATGATATAAAAAAAATGACATAATAATGTATATAAAAAAGAAGAGACTAAGTTGTTTCCTAATTTAACTATTTTCTCATGATAAAAAAAAATTAAAACAATAAGATAGAATAAGAGTATTATGTTCTATTGGTTTAACAAGCAAAGAATTATCGGATAATATGATAGGATAATTATCTTATTCTATCTTATCAAATCATGACTATCAAATAGGTCTTGAGTAGCTTAAAATAAATAAATAAAAAATAAAACATTCGACAGACAAAACTAATTAAATAAGAGTGAAATCTTTTTTTTTTCTTCAATTTTTATTTAGGCTCGTTCAATAATAAACAGTTTTCAAAATAGACATGCTCGTCTTGTACTTATGCCCGTTGTAAAGTTTATTAACATTTATGTATTTGTTTTTAATTTATGTCAAATAAAGTTTAATTAATGTAATTTTATAATTGTTATTCTATGTTGAAATTCTTTGTTTATATATTTTTATAAAAAAAAAATTTGGATGGGTACAGGTATACTTGATTGTCGACAGGTACGAAACTACAAACACAAATTTCATGCCTATCAGATATAAGAACGATGATAGATATGAGATATGGAAATATAAAGGTGACCAAGGATAAAGAAACTCAAATCTGTTCCACTCCATTGTCATCTTAATTACTCTCTTTCCTTCTCTCTCTCTCTTTCTCTTCGTCTTTCTCACTCTCACTCTCACTTCCCCCTCTCCCTCTCTCCCTCTTCCTCTTTCTCTCTCTTGCACTATCCATCTCTCTATTTCTGATGGAAGAGCATGGGCTAAAGGCCCAACCACTAGAGCTATGGCCAGGAGATTACTTGAAGACTTGTCTGCTTCAGAGCTTAGTGGGCCCAATGGGCTTGGTGGGCCTAGGGTGCTTCTCACATGGACTTTACATGATTAAACACCATGCTTTATTGTATATTTCTTAGTATAGGAAATTTCTTTGATTTCGGTCTTGTATTTTGACCATAGTTTAGGGTTTAGGCTTTTGGGCTTATATTTGGGCTTCATGGGCTTTGAGCTTTTGATACCCAATATTAGGCTCATTCTTCTTCTTGTATTTTTTTCTATTCATTGTATTCATTAGACCAATGTATTTCGGTCAATAGATTAGGTTTATATGAAGTATACATTAATAGATATTCAAAAGTGTCTTAACATGGTAGGAAAAGATACACTTATAGGAGGGAAATTAGGTTAAACTTGGCGGCAACTCAAATAAGCCTAGTTGGCGCCAAGTTTGAATTTCAAATTTGAATTTGAAATTCAAACTTTGGCCACTCACATGCTTAATCCGGTTGCTACCATCATTTAGATGTCATTTATGAGTTATTTGAGGTGAATTTGGAGCTCACATGGCCGGAACCACTCCATGCCATCCATGTGACTCAAATTCAACTCAAATTACTTCTAAATTACACATGAATGAAACCTAATTCTCCTATTAATGTATACTTCATATAAACCTAATCTATTGACCGAAATACATTGGTCTAATGAATACAATGAATAGAAAAAAATACAAGAAGAAGAATGAGCCTAATATTGGGTATCAAAAGCTCAAAGCCCATGAAGCCCAAATATAAGCCCAAAAGCCTAAACCCTAAACTATGGTCAAAATACAAGACCGAAATCAAAGAAATTTCCTATACTAAGAAATATACAATAAAGCATGGTGTTTAATCATGTAAAGTCCATGTGAGAAGCACCCTAGGCCCACCAAGCCCATTGGGCCCACTAAGCTCTGAAGCAGACAAGTCTTCAAGTAATCTCCTGGCCATAGCTCTAGTGGTTGGGCCTTTAGCACATGCTCTTCCATCACTTTCTTAGGAATCTTAAGTTAGAAATTTTGATTTTTTATATTTGATAGCTATTTAAAAAAATAATTTTCAGGAATATAGTTTTCTCGAAATCATTTTTATTGTACTTTCCCACAAAAGTATTTTGAGGGTGGTTGAGAATCCAACTTTTTTAAGTTCGGGAAAAAGTTTTATGTATATAAAAAGACTACAATATCCCTTTTTAAAATAGAAAATCTTTCTCTTTCTATTTTTCTTTCTTTCTCTATGTCTCTCTTTCACTTTCACTGCCCCTCTCTTCCTCTCTCTCCCTCTCCCTCTCCTTCTTAGATGACAAGTAAACTCATACTTGTGGGTAATTTTTAAATCTATCTCGACTTTGATGAAGAATACTCAATTTGACTAAACATAAGTACGTATACAGATAATACCTAATTTATTAAATCAAGTACGAGGATGGAGATGAGTACATACATGCTCGTCTTGTACTTATGCCCGTTGTAAAGTTTATTAACATTTATGTATTTGTTTTTAATTTATGTCAAATAAAGTTTAATTAATGTAATTTTATAATTGTTATTCTATGTTGAAATTCTTTGTTTATATATTTTTATAAAAAAAAAATTTGGATGGGTACAGGTATACTTGATTGTCTTTTAGTTAATATTTTTTAAAATAAATATCACAATTCCATAATAACTTCTACAATTAATGATGATTGTTTTAGACTAAATTATATTTTTATTTTTTTATTTTTTTTTAGAATTTAATTTAGTCTCATTATTTTTAAAATATTTAATTATATTATTTACTTTAAAAAAATGTTCAATATTATTTTTCTGTCCAAATTAAAAAAAAAATGAGGTGAAAGGATAACACTGAATTTAATAAAAAAACAGAAGATCAAATTGAATATTTTTAAAATATGAGATCAAATTTAACATTTTAAATAATTTAATTTGATCATCAATATTCAATGTTATCTTTCTATCGGATTTCATACATCATTAATGTCAATTTAGAAGTAAGGATAATATTGAACATTTTTAAAAGATCAGAAGATCATATCAAACAATTTAAAAATAATAAAATTAAATTAAAATTTAAAAATAAATAGAAGAAAAAAAATTATTTAGTCACTATTTTAATACTTAAACGTTGTACTTTGTATTAAA